AATCTTTATTTGAAGGTGTATTGGAATCTACGTCCTTGAAGAAGATCTTTGAGAAGGTGTAACAAGCCGTGGAGATAGACGCAAACCGAGTTTGTCGTCAAGTCATTCGTAAGTAGACAAATCAATACATTAGAAGGTTCTGTTGTGATTGATTGTGTAATTCTTACGGTGATTTAGTGGAAGGGCTATTACACGGACGTGGGCCTTGCAGACGTAGGAGAATTTGCTCCGAACTGCGTGAACAATTCTGGTGTCTTGTTTGCTGTTTTTACTTCATATTTTACGTGTGTGCTTTTGACAGAGAAGTGTTATAGCACACTGACCGTCATCTGTTACTGGACAGTGCTGCAGCGTCTTCTCTACAACATAGTTGATTGTTTTGTTTGCATAGCTTGTGTTTGCTGTTATCCGCTGCACCCCCCCACGAACTTACAGGGTATTCTTCTCACGAAGAAACCCCAAGTCAATAGGTTCCGTACCTGAGGGTAATTGACTTGTCAGAAATAGTGGGAGAGTATTTAATAAAGACCTATTAGATACTTAATTCATGATAATAACTATCTTTGCAAAATTCTGTAGATGGCAAACAACAACACAAACAACCTCGCCCTGCGTTCCATTCTCGATAAAGACAAATTGAACGTAACAAACTTTTTTGACTGGCAACGCAATTTCTCCATTGTTCTCCACATGGATGAGAAAGAGTATGTGCTCGAAAAGCCCATTCCTCCTGCCCCTCCCGCTAACGCCTCGAAAGTAGTTAAATATGCCTACGAGAAACATGTCAAGGATGACAACCAGGTTAGCTGTGTCATGCTGGCTACAATGATAACCGAGCTGCAAAAACAGCACGAGGACATGAAGGCCCACGAGATGATCGTGGCCTTGCGGCAGCTATACCAGGGACAATCCAGGCATGAATGTTTTCTCGTGAGTAAGGCTCTCTTTAGTTGCAAGATCTCTTCACGGAACCCGGTCGGTCCGCACGTTCACAAAATGATTGGTTACATAACCAATCTAGAGAAACTCGGGTTTTCCTTGCAGAAGGAGCTGGCAACGGACCTGATCCTGCAGTCGCTCCCTAAGCTGTATAAGGGTTTTGTCATGAACTACATGATGCATGATCTTGACAAACCCCTTCCGTAGCTTCTTAAAATGCTCCAGACTGCAGAGGAGAACCTTACTAAGGGCAAAGGTTCTTCCGTCCTTATGGTCCAAGGCGGAAAGGGGAAGCCGAAGAAGGGGATTAAGATTAAGGCTAGGACGGTCGGAAAGCCTAAATCAAAGTCCACTTCATCTGCAACCCAGAAACCCGTAGGAGGGATTGCAAAGGGAAAATGTCATCACTGTGGTAAGGCAGGCCACTGGAGGAGAAACTGCAAGACATACCTCGCAACCAAGAAGAAGGAAGGTACGACCATTTCTTCTGAGGTGTATGTTATAGAAGTTAACATGTCTATATCTTCATCATGGGTACTAAATCCTGGATGTGGGTCTCATATCTGTACCACCATGTAGGGACTGAAGTAGAGTAGACGGTTAGCTCGAGGCGAGATTGAACTCCGAGTCGGCAATGGTGCACCTGTTGCAGCTTTGGCAATCGGAACTTATAGTTTAGTCTTGCCTAGTGGTCTAGTGTTGGAATTAAACGACTGTTTGTATGTTCCTACAATTAGCAGAAACATTATTTCTGTTTCATGTCTTGATAAGAGTGGTTTCATCATTTCTATTAAAGACAAGTCCCTTTCCATTTACAGAAAGAATGTTTTCTATGCTAATGCCAACATGACCAATGGGTTATATGTCCTTGACTTGGACATGCCCGTCTATAACATATCAGCCAAGAGGAACAAACCAAATGGTTTGAACCAAGCATACCTATGGCATTGTAGGTTAGGCCATATAAACGAGAAACGCATATCCAAGCTACATCGGTCAGGAATGCTGGAGTCATTTGATCTTGAATCATATGACACATGCGAATCTTGTTTATTGGGTAAGATGACCAAATCTCCTTTCACCGGACACGGTGAAAGAGCTGGTGATCTTCTGGCACTCATTCATAGTGATGTGTGCGGGCCTTTCATTACAACTGCACGAGGTGGTTATTCATACTTCATCACATTTACTAATGACCTCAGTAGATATGGCTATGTGTATCTCATGAAACACAAGTCAGAATCCTTTGAAATGTTCAAAGAATTCAGGAATGAAGTTGAAAAACAACTTGGAAAAAGTATTAAAACACTACGATCCGATCGAGGTGGAGAATACTTAAGTGGTGAGTTCGATGACTATCTTAGAGAGCATGGGATTTTATCCCAACTCACACCTCCTGGGACTCCAAAATGGAATGGTGCCTTTGAAAGGAGGAATCGAACCCTGCTTGACATGGTTCGTTCTATGATGGGTCATTCGACTCTACCAGAATCATTTTAGAGGTATGCACTGAGCACTGCAATATATACTCTTAACCGAGTTCCAACCAAGGCGGTTGAAGGAACACCATACCGGCTATGGACGGGCAAATGCCCGGTTCTATCACACTTAAAGATTTGGGGCTGTGAGGCTTATGTCAAACGTCTTATGACGAATGGCAAGCTTGACGCCAAGTCTGATAAGTGTTTCTTCGTGGGATACCCTAAGGAAACTTGAGGGTATTTGTTCTATCACCCTATCGATAATAAGGTATTCGTTGCTCGCAATGGTGTCTTCCTCGAGAAGGAATTTCTCTCCAACGCAACTAGTGGGAGAAAGATAGAGCTCGAAGAAATTCGAGACGACGAAGAAACTACCGCGCCGGTTCAGGAACATGAGCTAGAGGAACAAACCGTTGTACCTCAAAATGCTCAAGATACACAAGAACCCCGTAGGTCTAACCGGTTACGCACACAACCTGAAAGGTATGAATTCATCCTAACCTTTGAGGGTGACGTAATGCTTATCGACCAGGATGAGCCGGAGACCTACCTCGAGGCAATCAGTTGTCCTGAGGCTGAGGAATGGCATCAAGCCATGCAATCCGAAATGGATTCCATGTACACCAACCAAGTATGGACTTTGGTTGATGCACCCGAAGGGATCAAACCCATTGGGTGCAAATGGGTCTTCAAAAAGAAGACTGACATGGATGGTAAGGTACAAACCTTCAAGGCATGATTGGTAGCAAAAGGATATCGTCAAATACATGGTATCGACTATGACGAAACTTTTTCTCCAGTTGTCATGATTAAATCTATTCGGATCTTACTTACTATCGCAGCATACCACGATTACGAAATCTGGCAGATGGACGTCAAAACGGCTTTCCTTAATGGAAACCTCCTTGAGGATGTCTTTATGACACAACCTGAAAGGTTTTGCGCTCCTGAAGAATCTACGAAGGTATGCAAGTTGCAGCGATCAATCTACGGATTGAAGCAAGCCTCACGGAGTTGGAACATCCGTTTTCACGAAACCGTCATCGGATTTGGTTTTGAAAGAAATTCGGATGAATCTTGTGTATACAAGAAGGTCAGTGGGAGTGCTGTAGTCTTCCTTGATCTGTATGTTGATGACATACTGCTTATAGGAAACGATATTCCTACTCTAACCACCGTCAAAACGTGGTTGAGTAAGAGTTTCTCTATGAAGGACTTGGGAGATGCGAGTTATGCACTTGGCATAAGGATGTATAGGGATAGATCACGGAAGCTTTTAGGTCTCAGTCAAAGTACATACATAGACAAGGTCCTCGCTAGATTCAGCATGTCTGAATCGAAACGAGGAAGTTTGCCTATGGTCCAAGGCACGAGTCTTTCCAAGACTCAGGGTGCTTCCACTCCAGAGGAAGTAGAACGCATGAGAAATGTTCCTTATGCATCGGCCATTGGATCCATCATGTATGCGATGGTATGTACGAGACCTGATGTCGCCTTTGCTTTGAGTGTCACGAGTAGATACCAGTCCAACCCTGGCGAAAGCCATTGGACGGCTGTGGAGAACATCCTTAAGTACTTTCATAGGACTAAGGATTCCTTCCTGGTATATGGCGGAAAAGAAGAGCTCAGTATTGTCGGATATACTGATGCCAGCTTCCAGACTGATAGAGACGACTTCAAGTCGCAGGCGGGGTATGTGTTTTGTTTGAATGGCGGAGCTGTTACCTGGAAGAGTTACAAGCAAGATACTACCGCTGATTCCATTACAGAAGCAAAGTACATGGCTGCAGCCGAGGCAGCCAAGGAAGGTGTGTGGCTCAAGAATTTTATTACTGAGCTTGGAGTGGTTCCTAGCATCAAGAACCCTATACCGTTGTTTTGCGACAACAATGGGGCAATTGCACAAGCGAAAGAACCTAGGTCTCACCAGAAGACCAAACACATCGTTAGACGTTATCACATCATACGAGAAACCGTTGCACTTGGGGACGTTGAGATTTGCAAGATAGGTACAGACGACAATATTGCGGATCCGTTGACGAAGGCTTTGGGAAAGCCTAAACACGAGAGTCATACGTGGTCCATGGGCATTCGAGAAATGCATGATTGGCCTTAGGGCAAGTGGGAGATTGTTGTATTTAAGTGCCCTAGCGGCAATCAAATACCTATATAACTGTACACTTTATCATGAATGAAATGCTCTGAAGTATGTTTTATATCTCGTATAACATAACATAGCTTCAGTCCATAGATGATAGCGCTTCAGTAACATAGATGAGGACTATGATGTTCTGATTATGAGACTGTTACTTCTTGACGAAGGCTATGTCTAAAATATCCCTAGTCGCACTTTATGATAATACGGACATCATAACGTATCAAGACTAGTACGTACGAGATGAGATAGTTGCGTCTCATAGACTATAGGTATTGTGATATCTTAATCTGTACGTAGGTGCATATTATATCGATAATATGTGACTGGATAGACCCATCTTGAGAATAGTGCATGGATCTACAGTAATGTGTTTATCAGTATTCTCAATTCGACCTTGCTATAACTATCCTAAGACTTGAAGTTATTACATTCTCTGATATGTTGGGCCGTATACTTTGATTCATAACTAATTCTATCTGAAATACTGGTAGACGTACAGTTATGCGTTGGGTATACCGTTAAGCATATTTGGAGATGTGAATAACAGATACAGGATCTGTCCCTTCTACTGTATAGAAGTATAATGTCAATGGGCCCACTGAATAGTAGGACTTGGGAAAGTGCATGGCCATGCCCAGATATGTCGCTATCCAGAGACTGATAAATATCTTATCCCTACCAATCTACTTGAGATTCAGTAATAGCTGATTTAACTATACAAGGATACACATCCCATGCCTTGTGTTAAATCATGACATTTAGGACAGAAGGATAATAGTTATAGAACGTCTTGTGTCGTAGAAGGTATTGATGAGATGAACGTCTTTTTCATAATCTGGGGGTAATAGTGTGTTGCTAGATACCGCTTATTATCTATGGTATTAATTTATATTAATATCATTGCCAGTATTATGGATACCTAAAGGGTCACACACTTCGGACTTGTAAGGGACTACACTAGTGGGAGTAATATTAAATATATAGTTGTGATAATTTTATATATATATATGTATTTCAAAATACATATGTATTTTAAAATTATATTTTGTTTTTGTCATTTTAATTATATGATAATTATATTTTGACAAAACAAATTTTATTTTATATATATATATATATTATTTTATTTTTTATCATTTTAATTATATGATAATTCTTGATGTCAAAATAAAATGTAATGCATTTTAATATGAGATGGCCGAAATTTCAAAGGGAATGTACAAGACACAATTTGATTTTCTACCTAATAATATATTTGATTGATATAATCAAATATTTGATTAACAAAAGCATATTTGTCTTGTTGTGTTGGTTGGAGACATTGCACTAATCTTTATTTGTTTTTGTCCCTAATGAATTTCCTAGAAATTCTTTTAAAGTAGTGTTTTATAAATAAGATGTCTCCCTCCCCATTTTTGCACTCAACTATTCGGCCATCACAAGGAAGAGAGAAGAAAAATCCTATTTTGTGTTCAAAGTTATTTTTCTAAAGTGTTAGAAATATACACAAAATATTATAAAGAAATATTTATAAGATAAATATTTTACTGTATATTTATTACTCCCAAAGTGGTATTATTATATTTTTTATTATCCTATTTTAAACTTGCTAGCACAAGTTTAATCTAGGACTCCGGAGCAAGTTCGTGTGGATACGTTGGAGGCTTCACAAGTTTAATCTAGGACTCCCGACCGTTTCTCCGTTCTCTGTTTTCACCGTTAAGGTAAATTTCTTGCTATAGCTAGTAATTTACGTAAGTTGTTCTTGGGTGGAATTGAGTTTTGGACTTTAAATTTTGTTTTCCACTGCGTTATCCAAGCCTCGTTTCCCAACACTAACCTGGTTGTCATCCTTAACGTGTTTCTCATAGGCATCTTTAACCGCTTTCAGGGCGTTAGCGGGAGGGGCAGGAGGAATGGGCTTTTCGAGCACATACTTTTTCTCATCCATGCGGAGAACAATGGAGAGATTGTGTTGCCAGTCAACAAATTTTGTTCCGTTCAATTTTTCTTTATCCAGAATGGAACGCAGGGCGAGGTTGTTTGTGTTGTTATTGTTTGCCATCTACAGAATTTTGCGAAGATAGTTATTATCATGAATTAAGTATCTAATAGGTCTTTATTAAATATTCTCCCACTATTTCTAACAAGTCAATTACCCTCAGGTACGGAACCTATTGACTTGGGGTCTCTATTTGTGAGAAGAATACCCTAGTGGGCCAAGATCCATATTTTACTTAATTAAAGTTGTGCTTTGCATCTTGCCCTACAGTCAAGTTATTTAAGTAGGAATTGATTCCAATTGTAATCGTTATTACAACTCTTGGTTTGGTGGATTCATTTAACTATAGTTGTGCTTTGCATCTTGCCTTACAGTTAAATTATTTCTAGTAGGAAAAATTTCAATTGTAACAAGTTAAAACTCTGATTGGATGAACTGATTTTATTTATTGATCCTAACGTGGTGCCCTAAGTCTCTCATCCTTATGACCAAGACTTAGTTAAGACTAACCCGGGGCGAGTCAGTACCCTAGTTACGGGTTTCGCGCCTAACCAACGTAAACCAGGCGTCTCACTTGGGTGAGTCTGTTACCGATCTAAATTGGGTTTGACGAGTGACGAGGTGTCGGGGTGGCACAGACTTAAAACTATGAGGGATTTATTACGCAGTCTTGCATATGGCATACACCGCGCGCATGCACTAGCGAAAATCACAGTCTGTATTTGGTCAGTATTATGTCTCTAGAAGTTAACGAGAACACAAACTTTTGTTTGGGATGGAATAACTATTCCAGAACAATTCTGTCCAGTTATGTTTTTGTTTTTGCCCCACATTGATAGCCAACCTCAGGATTGTACGGGATAGTGTCTTCCATTTCCACAAAGCGGTCTCTGGTTTGCAATATCTTTTTCCAGTAAAAATAGTCATCATTCCTCTTTGGACAGTCCCAAACATTATTGTTCTTGAGATATCTGTTGTGGATCTATTTGATCCAAAGAACCTCCTTTTCCATCGTAATGTCCCAAACCAATTTCATGATAATAGCTTTATTCCACATAGTCAGATTTTTAAGTCCAAGCCCCCCATTCTTCTTTGGTAGGCATATATAATCCCAGGCCACCAAGGGAATTCTCATGTGTTCATGGGTAGACCCCCATAGGAAATTCCTACATAAACTTTGGATCCTCTTGAGTACCATACTAGGTATGAGAAAAATTCTGCTCTAGAAACCAATAATGCCAAATAACACAGAATTAATTAACTTCACCTTCCCGGCATATGACAGATTTTTTGTAGACCACGTGGTGAGTTTAGCAGTCATTTTTTCTATGAGCCTCTCACAGTCTTTGGCATTGATTCTGGAAGAAGTGACGGGACTTCCTAAGTATTTGAATGGCAATGAACCCTTTCTCATGTTGGTTATCTGCAGTAATTGATTGTCCTGGTGTTTGGTGATCCCCCCAAAAATAATTACAGACTTGGAGTGATTGACAGAAAGCCCAGTAATAGAGGAGAAGTGTTTAAGGGCTGACAGAATGATGGAATTCTCATCGGCCTTAGAGGCTACAATTAGGTCATTTGCAAAGATAACATTGATGATCTTCAGTGATTTGCAGAGGGGGTGGTATCCAAATTTCTCCCTGTTTGCATATTGGAAGGATCTGGTAAGATACTCCATTATGACAACAAATAAGAGGGGGGATAGGGGTCCCCTTGGCGTATACCCTTCCCTCCTTTGAAGAATCCAAAGTCTTCTCTCCTGCATTTAAAAAAATAAATTCTGTATTAGCAACCATATGATTCTATGATTAAAAATATTAGTCTAAAAAAATTAAATACAACGATTCTTTTCCCATATTTATTTAAAACATATTAATACAAAAATGATTAGTGTTATGATGATTCTAAATGGAAAGGGAGAAAGATTAATACAAAGTATATGGGCAAAAAATAAGGAAAAAACAAATAGAACCTTCATCTTTTTGTCCCCAAAATAAGAATGCCAAAAGTGCGGAATTGCCAACATATAATACAGATAGCAATGAAATGCCTATATACAATGCTCATTTTTACATTGCAATAGTACTATTTTGGGCTAAAAACATATCACTTCTATTTTGGTTGACCTCTTGAAGGAAAATTTACAAAAATATTTTACAATTTTGATTCTTTTTTTATTTTCTTAATGGAAAACCATTCAAACCCTTGATAGCATTCTAGTCAATACAAAATATTTTATCAAAATACACACAATTTTAAATCGGAAATTATATTTCTCTTTAATGTGGTTGTACCCAAGGCTCCATCTTATTCGCTTTTGCACCTTGGATCTTCTCCGTATTTTTCTTACTTTTTGATTATCCTTGCACCTATATCTTCATTGTCACAGATCTTCTCACGCTTCTCTCTATACAATTTTTGAGTAAATTCCATAATTGGTCCTTTATAAAAAGGGGGGTATCCATATTTAGTCCTCTATTATTAAATATTACCACTGTAGTTCTTTTTTAAGGGTGTCTTTCCACAAATGATCCTTTTTTGATCTTCTGCCATCTTGGTATTAATTTAAAGGCTAAAAAGTATAATTTTACATCAACATTATGTCTAGTGACATGTTCTGATATTGGTTAAACGGATAACACAAAAATAATGATTATGATTGTGGGCTAGGATTCCAACGAAAGACCACATTTGTAAACTATGGTTGTAGTAGAAAGCAACTGTAATTCACAAACGACAGAAACGGAACAACCTTTGGAAATGTGTATGACAAAAAAGATATATCATTGTCAAATTACATTTTTATCCATCAAATTAACACCAACATGATTGAAGATCAAACAAGGACTATTTGTGGAAAGTTACTAATAAAAGAAGGACCACTATAGTAATATTTGATAATGGGGGACTAAATAAGGAAACTCCCCTGTTATAAAGGACCAATATATCAAATTTGACCATAATTGTTTTTGTGGAAAATAAATTTATTTCATTTTTTACTAATTGATTCTTTTTTACCGGGGTATTTTTCTTTTTATTTGAAGTCAAAA